TTACTTTTTATTTTTAGGTGGAGAAGATAGTGAATTGTATCGCAATAGAAAAGGCTACTTTTCTCTAAACATACAAGTAGTTATTAACGCAAAATTGGAAATAATTGACATAGTAGCGCGTTGGCCAGGATCTGCACATGATTCAACTATATTTAACCATTCAAGAATTAAGAGTTTGTTCGAGGCAAACAGATTTGGTGATGCTTTACTCCTTGGAGATTCTGGCTATCCGAATCTGCCATATTTAATGACTCCGTTACTAAATCCAACAAAACCAGCAGAACATCTTTACAATGAAGCTCAAATTCGAACACGCTCAAAAATTGAAAGATGTTTTGGAATTTGGAAAAGAAGATTCGCAGTGTTATCTATTGGATCGCGTTTTCATACAGTTCAAAAGATGCTTCCTATTGTTATAGCAACAGCTATATTGCATAATATTGCTCAGCAGAAAAATGAACCAAATGTAATTAATCCTGAAATATATGATAATGTTATTGCTGAAGTACAAAATGTAAGAGTGGATAATATGAACATCAGGGATGAACGACAACATTTACTTTCGGAGTATTTTGAAAGGTAATGAATATTGATGAAACTTAATTATGGCATATGATAATTTGATAATTAACATATTTTTATTTACAGATTACTTTAAAAACTTAAAATAAAAAGCATTTGAAATTGATATCTCTTTAATCTGAATGTAATCTAAATGTCTCTCTCTAATTTTTTTCACAATATGTAACATGAGAAAAAATTACACATCTGTATTTAATATAATTATTGTAATACAAATAAATACATGTTTATATATTCTTTAAAATAAATAAATATACAATTATATACAATTATATACTTACATTATTCTTTATTGCACCACATTTACATTTTTAACAATTCTTTTTAGAATAAATTGAAAGAACAAGTATAATATAACACACTTTTCAAAATAAAATAAGAAATTAACTCTTTCCATCCTCTGATAAAATAAAATTAACCAAAATAACTACAAAAATAAAGAAATTATATTGCAAAAAATTTAAATCTATTGAATACTATTCCATTGAATATTATTAATGGGTATTCTTCAATTATGAAAAATAAAATAAGAATAAATCTTTCCAATTAACTATATCACAGAGTATAACATAGTGTAATACAGTGTTATAATTGAGAAATATTATCACCCAATATTATATATTATAGATACTATATATATTAATATATTATTAAATACTGTATTATGTATTAATACTGTATTATATTAAAAAGTCTTTGGAACATTATAAATGATCTTATAAGAGATATATCAGTCTCTTTCTTTTTAATTACATCTTTTAAAGCTTTCTCTCTTTCTATTGACACTTTTAATAATTCTATTTTCAACTTTTCTTTTTCAAGTTTAGCTTTTAGTAAGTCGATTTCATAATCCTTTTTTTCTTTTTCATTTGTTTGTAATGTATGTAGTAATTTAAGTTTAGCCTCATTTAATATTTCAGTATTATTTTCGAGTTTGATTTTTTTGACATTTTTCGACGTCGTGGCTGAATGCTGATCTTGAAGCGGAAAACTTTTTTGCGATTTTAATTTATTAGTATCCCAAGATTTCCATTCATTAATTTCTTTACTTTCAACTAAATACTGAAACAAATTAAGATAAAATATTAAAAGATAAAAGATATAAAATTTAGAATATATTAAAATTTCACACACAATTTATTAAATAATTTGCTAGTAAAACTTATTGAAAATATCTCTTGTGGATCATTTTCATTATCTTCATCTTGTAGGTCAATAACAGTGTTCTTTTGTAATTTGTTATCAACAGTACCGATAGTGTCAACATAATCAGAATCAAAAGGATTAGCTAAGCCTGATACTGTTGTATCACCTAAAATTTCCTTCGCTCGCTCGAATATAGGATTTTTTTCTAAAGTGACTACTCCTCCACCTACAAATGCAATAAAATATATCAAATTAGCATCTTAATTATAGCTTCAATAATAAATATAATAATAAATTTAATAATAAATACATTTACCTGTTTTATAAGTTTCGCGTTTTAATGTTGCATAGTATTTTCTTGTATCTCTTTTAATGTTATCCCAACAAAGTCGTAAATTTTTTTCTGATCGTATAGTTGTTCTATTTTTGTTATATTCAATTGTAATATTGGTCCATGCTTCATCTTTCTTTAGATTAGTTATCGGTTACTTTATTTTCAAGTACATGACAATATAAAAAAATGATATCTAATAAATCATTCTTTTCAGAAGTAGTAAACTTTTTTGCTCGTTGCATATTTGCTTGCATATTGTACCACTGTAAATTATGTATTATTACTTGTATATTTAATAATTTTAATTGAATTAATTTTTCAAATAAATGTTATATACCTTAATCTTATTCACCGCTTCTGTACACGATCTTTATTTCTCTAATAAAACATACATTTACATTTATATGTATATTTATTTTACATTTATTTATTTACATTTACATTTATTTTAGGTTCTCGTCCGACAGTCTGAGAGTACTACATAAATTGAGGTTATAGAAAAGAACAAGAAATTTCCCTCTCTGTTCCTAGTACGAAATGTTTCATTTGTCAGTGTTGGCAACACTTTAATCAACGATTAAATTAATCGAAGTTTGGTCGAAGTGGCCCTAATTGGCCCCGTTTTGCAAAAATATAATTGAGGTGACGCAACACCCGAGAGGAAGCACACTTTAACATTTGGTGAGCAACAAAGATAAACGATGCATTATGCGCATCATGCGAGAAACGGAACGCACCCCTAGTCTACATAACGCATAAAAATTCATCCTTCCGGATTTTTCGACACATTATGCATCATGCTTTACGCACTATGCAATCCTCGCAGAGCGAGTAGTGGGGATAGAAATGAAGGAATCTGATTGGTTTATTCCCTTATGCCTTACGCATGATGCGTTACGGAAAAGCCTGTGCTCCCCGCTTTATGCGTGGTCTACAATGGGCAGTAGCAGTAGTGGATTAAGAAGTAGACATTAGAAGTAGGCTGTAGGATTAGGGTCTCTACGTCCGAGTGTCTACAATGACTTACAGACTTGCACCGATTTGTCTCCATGCTTCGGTTTTCACATTGGCGTTGGCATATAATTTTTCGGTCTTGTCATACAAAAACCGATTGCACCGGACCACGGCAATTAATTCTCGGTTAATCCTTATTTCAAAATCACCCCCAGAACTATCATGAAACTCCATGTCTGCCATACTCGAAATTTAGGTTATAGCATGCAAAAACAGCACTAGCTTCTTGCGCGCGTTTTCATTACTACTGAATGCTGAGTTCTCATTGGTTGAGAGTAAGAGAGTAGACGTAAGAAATGGATTTCAACCATTTCGCTTACGGACTTACTCTACACCCTATAATACCGAAAAAGGATTAGAATTCAGTCAATTAGAACAAAACGGATTAAACTTAAAATTACCTGATTGGTCAAATTCTAATCCTTAATAATTCGCAATCTTCAGGGTGCTGTCCCATGGGCACGGAACGATGCTGATTGGTTGCCCCTATCACTTCACCTTTCCTATTCCGTGTTCCGATTCCGTTTTCCGTGCCCATGGAACAGCACCCTCAATCTCCAATGCGTAGTGTGACACAGGCAATACGAACCATCAACGCGTCGTATTTCCGGTTAACGCATGGCGACGTAATCAAGTCAATTCAAATTTTAAATATCATTTACATCATGCTGACGTAACGTATCCCGGTTTGATGTTGCTCATTGAATAGATTTAAATCGCAAATAATTTATTTTGATAGGTAAGGTGCAAAAGTTAACGTAACTCGAGAGTTTCGATGCGCATCCGGCGTTATGCTTTTGACCAGCTGGTGGGAGAGCAGAATGTAACCGGGCAACGGCCATTTCCGCCTTGTTCGTTCATTACGGCGGTTTTACGCAGTCAGGTGAGGAGCGTCTTAAAAGTTGTCAGGGTCTAATTATATATAGCGGCGGAGGCGAAATAACGAACGGACACGTGTGCATGATAACGGCGACGGTTTCTAGACGACATTTAATTGCAGATGGAAAATGGACGACGGAGCGTGCGCGGATTACGTATGAGGGTCGCGTAGCGTCCGTGGACGCGACAGGAAGAGCACACAAGCAGCAGGCAGCGGTCACGAGCGTCACGAGCGGCGTTCTCATTATCAGGATACCTACAAACTACATATTAGGATATGTTCAGGATATGAGGTTGCTTGCTCCCAGCGTGAATATTTATTTTCCATAAAAAGGATTTAATTTTAAATCAATGTGAGTGGCTATTTCTATTCTCCAGTAACTTGTTCACAAACAAAAAAAAAAAGAACCAAAGACGAGAAATTATAATTAGCGTACAATTTCCATCAAAAGTATCAAAAGCGAGATGATACTTTACTAAAGGCAGAGTGATCTCGAGATGTTCATCCAATTTCTGATGATTGTAAGACTTCTAAGTCATGTCTCACGTAATTGTGGCATTGTACGGGTGTTCAACGACGTGATAAGAAACAGCGTTATCATTCGACCGAAGGTGAATCATGTCGACTGTTGGTGACGTAATCGCATTCGTGATATTGAATATCGAGTTAATAGGGTTTGCGAGAAGGACGCCTTTGCAAGTGTCGTAATCTGGTAATCTGATCGTGACAGAATATCGTTAAGTTTTCCTATTAAACAAGTGTCAAAATAACAAAACAAAAAAAAGAAGTGTTACCGAACCTTTTTTTCCTTTTAGATACTAATGCTAGAACTATGGACTCGGGCAGTTTTTGTGTTACATAAATAGATTGAATTGAACGTGGGAAGGAGAGATTCGTCACGGTCACGACGGCGGAGTGACAAAAGCATTAAGTACGGCAGGGGTGTTGGCTAACGGTGGAGGGACGTTCGCGATTCCGATTGGTCGCTCGCGCGGCAGTCGACGGGGAATGCGTCACGGCGGTTCGCGGCTGCGCATTGAGCAGCCAGGCTAGTCGTGTGAGAATTGCTGTTGCGGATCAGCCGCACCTCGTTTTATCCTCATCTACGTCTCTGAAGCATTTTTAACGAGCGGCTTTTGCGATTCTCGCTTAACGTAGCTATTCTAGAACGATAGGGAATGATATATGGTAAATTACGTAATCTTAAACTTAACTGAGCGTAAATAGATCAGACGCGAGAACTTCGGGGAATCGCTCTTGTAACGGAATGTCCGACGTCTCCGTTATGGCGTCTATCTTTATTGCGCGGTACGCGGTTGTAATTTTCGTAGGCGATATAACGGAGGCTAGATCTCGAATTCTAACAATCGAGCGATAAACTAGGTCGAAATTCCGCGATACACGGTCCACGTTTTGAGCGAACCTGCGAGAACGCGTATTTTGCAATATGGCGTGATGAGTGCGTCGCTTGTTCTTGCTCGAGCCGCCGTATAAAATTATCAAGTATTTTACATTTCATTGCAGACGCGCGCGCGGATGATTTTGAGGGTCGATTCGCATCCAGTGTAATGAAAATGCGTTAGAACGTCTCGAACATCAGCAAAATGGTGAGTATGGCATACATTTTTCTTTACTTTTATCATGAATATGGTGAATTATCTGACAAACGCATAATTCAGGAGAGATGGCGCCACTTAGGTCGGCGAAGGATCAATAACCTTTTGCCCCTCTCTCGACCTCGTATTCTACTTTTTCCGTTACGAACCTTGGCGCATTTACCGACGTATGAAATTATTCAATTTGTTATTGCTTGTGGGTGGTATAATATAAATTTCTTATCTGAATATAATGGTAGACAAATGGACGATATTACTTTTGCCTTTTTTTATCGTGTAATATAAAATACGCGATAAAAAGATTTATTTTATGTATAATGAATTTCATAAAAAATTTTTTCTGTCTTTATAATTTAATAATAAACAAAAGAGAGAGGTGAAGGTTATTCTTGAATCAACTAAAAAAAATTTGTGAAATATTTGAATTTATTTAATTTATTTTTTAAAAAATATAAACACATTAAAAGCCAATTTTATTTATTAAAATATATTTTTTATCTTATTGTTTTATCATTCTATTATCTTATCGGCATATGAATCAAATAATCGCCGAATATCTGAAATTTATTTTAATCTTTATAATTTAGATCAAATATATAGAGAAATATATTTTTCTAATATTTTGCTTAGATAATACAAAAATCTATTACAAAAAGATTATTTTATAGCAGTAATATTTATATATTAATATTAATTATTAATGAAATTTATTTGTGATTTGTCCACTAATATCTTTCTGGAATATTAACGTAATCATACCGCTAAAACATAGTTCTGTACTGCAGTGAATAATTGTAATTTGCAAACGGCTGACCGTCGGCCAATTAAATTAATGACTTTTATTTAACATATTTAAAATATCTTTATGAGGATTTGAGTTCAAAGTACCTTTTTTATAACTTATAAAAACTTATAAAAGTCACAAGATAATATTAAAGACTGACTGTCTTGTGGAAATTTGAACTTTCAAAATTTGGATTTGATTAAATTATATTAGTAATTTTATAATTTATTATTTTGACATTTCATAGATGTATATTGATATATTTACAAGAAATTATACACATACAATGATTATTTAAAACTGCATCTGTCCATCATTATTACTTGATCATTCATCTGTGAATGATAATCATGGAAAACAAAATTCAGTTTTGCAACAATATACAGGGTGTCTTTAACACATCACCCACCATGAATAGGTAGAGCGAATCGAACTGAGTTGAAAAGTTTTCTACCATTTTGCAGTTTGCGCAATAGTTAACGAGATATTAATATTTAAAGATAGCCGAATACGCGCGTCCGCTCGGCCTACTGCTGCCGAAAGGATGGCCCACTGATCGGATTGCATGGCGCCCG